TTGGCTATTATCACACCCAACTTTGGCTACTACTTCATGAAACCTCAGCTACTGCACCAATCTTAGGCTAATATCAGACCCAACTTTGGCTACTACCACACCAACCTTCAGCTACTACCACACCAATCTTCAGCTACTACTGCACCAACCTTTGGCTAATATCACACCAACCTTCAGCTACTACCGCACCAACCTTCGGCTACTACTGCACCAACCTTCGGCTACTATCGCACCAACCTTCGGCTACTATCGCACCAACCCTCGGCTACTATCACACCAACCCTCGGCTGCTATCACACCAACCCTCGGCTACTATCACACCAACTCTCGGCTACTATCACTCCAACCCTTGGCTACTNACCAACCCTCGGCTGCTATCACACCAACCCTCGGCTACTATCACACCAACTCTCGGCTACTATCACTCCAACCCTTGGCTACTATCACACCAACCTTCGGCTACTATCACACCAACCTTCGGCTAATATCACACCAACCTTCGGTTAATATCACACCAACCTTTAGCTACTACTGCTCCAACCTTCGGCTACTACTGCACCAACCGTCGGCTACTACTGCACCAACCGTCGGCTACTATCATACAAAACTTCGGCTATTATCACACCAACCTTCGGCTGATATCACACAAACCTTTAGCTACTATCTGACTGTGTCAAAAAAGAAATGATTGAAATAATGAAATAAACGAAGAAGCTCAAACTGATTATATAATCAGACTGACAGAGATGGAGCAGTTTTGGGGGGGGGGTGTCATAGTCTGGGGGGTCCACCTCAGATCTTTGGTCTTTCTGAACTTCATAAAGGTTCTGACTGGATCTTCCTCCAGCAGATGGACTAAAGTTGCTCCAGAAGGACACAAATCCAGACTTAATCCTAAAGATTAGTTTAGTTCTGATAGAGGAAACAATCTGAATTAAAGACAGCTGGGAGATAATCCAAAGACTTACAACAGGGGGTCCAGTCCTGGTCCTGGTCCTGGTCCTGGTCCTGGTCCTGAAGGGCCGCATGTCCTGCATGGTTCACTTGTTTTTTTCAGAATCCTGATATTCACTCCTTCATTCAGATCAGGTGTTTAATAAGAGATGGTGGACCTCCAGAACCAGAACCAGGACCCTCCTGGTTCACAGGATCAAATTACATTTTTCCGTTTGTGTTTAAACATGAATAAAAACTCATCTAAAATAAAGAGCTGAGAGTCAGGACTGACGGTCAGGATCTTCGGGGGTCTCAGGGGTCACGGCTATAAACACAGGTCTGAACATCACTTTTATCTTCAAAATAAAACATGAAATTATAAGATTTAAACATTTGAGTTTTTATTTACAGCCCGGCTTTCCCAGAACTGGATTTGTTTTTATTAAATTTACATTAAATGAATGAATCCTGAACAAATAATAATAATAAAAAACAAATAAAGACCCGGTGGACAAACAGAACCTGGTCCAATGGTCGGTGCCGAGTTAAAGATCTGTCACATGAAACATTGCTGAGGGTCTGCAGGAGCTTCAGGTCCAGCTCAGAGGTCCAGCAGCTAATGGTTTTGAACGAATCCATCAGTCCTGCGGAGAGGGGTCTGGACCGAGGGATCCAGAGGACAGGTGGATCTGAGGACAGAGGGTTCTGATGTTCAGGTGGAACTCCTCACCTTCACCATCATCAGTTTGTCTGCAGCGAGGCCGAGTGACAGGAAGTGAGCAGAACTGAACCCACCCGGACTCTGATCCGACTCAGAGCCTCTGAACGTCCAGAACCAAAGGCTTCACATGTTCTGGGTCTGATCTTTCACCTGGAGAAAGGTAACGAGCAGCCGGACCCCCGCTGAGCCGAGCGTCCCATGTCACACAGGCAGGATCGGTTCTGGTCCGAGCAGCTCGGTCAGAGCGTGACTTTGCATTTAAAACTGTGATTCTGTCTCCTGGCTGAGGACAGCAACAGAACCGGGCCTCAGGAGGACCAGTTTACCTTTGGTCCTTCAAAATAAAGTGTTAGAAAAAGCCACAGAATGAACCTTTAAAACTGAAATAAAACTGTCATATTTTGCTGTGGTAGTAGCTGAGAGTCATGAGTTTCATCAAGTGATTTAAGGTTTGATTAAACAGCTGCATCGTTTCTCAACATGCTTTTACTTTGAAAACATTACTTTTAAAAAAGGCTGGGCTTTTATTTTTTTTTTGACATTTTTAAAAAATGAAATCCGTTTTTAAAGAGCTAGAATTTAGTAATCAGAGTGCGTCAGTTTAATGACGACCCAGAAGCTCTCATCTTTCCTACAAGCTGTAATTTCAGCTCCACTTAAACTCTCTTCTGTATTTAAAGACTAAAAGCTGGAGGTGACAACCAGAAATTACCCTCCTCCCGGCTGTCTGTGCATCGATCTGTTTGGAAGGACGGAGAGCGGCTGCAGCCTCACACAAAGCTTTGTTACAGACTGAAACATGGCCGCCGCGTCAGAGGAGCACGTCAGGAGTTTTAAAGAAATGTCAGATAAATCAAATCACAGACTTTCAGTCTTTGTTAGAAAAGCTTCAGCTTCAGGTTTTGACTCTGACAGGAAACAGCAGCAGGATTATTTTAACGAGTTTCTGTTTCTGTAAATATTTCCTCCACAGCTCTTTAAATAAAAACCAAACCCTTTAATGCAATTAGCTTCTAATTATAGAGGCGCAGAGAGAAATACAGATTGTGCTCGGCTCGCTTCCACTTAATTAATTCCTAATAATCTGGTTCTAAGCCTGAAGCTCTCAGCGGGTCAAAGATTTACACCTCGTATGAGGTGCCGTTTGTAAAGTTACACAGTCAAAAAATTACCACCAATGTTTTTGTTTTATTTAGTTCTGAGCCTGCGAGGGGACACGGAGGGGGATTTTTTCCCTTTTGCGTTCCCACGCAATATTGTTTTGAGTTCCCACGCAAAAGATTATTTTGTATATGAACTGAATTAAATTAGACTTATTTTGAAATATCCGGTTACCAAAACAGGATGTGTCGCCACAAGTTTGTGAAACTGACATTGATGTTGCGTGGCTGCACTGTGTTAAAATATCGGCATATGACATACTTCCATGCGTGGCTGTGTGATATATTCATTCTGAAGCTGAATTAAAGCAGTAGGCTAACTCGCTAAAGGTGAACATGTGAGTTTGTTCATAAACTGGCAGACACAACAGTGATAAACTACTTTTGCGAGGTAACGCAAAGGCATTGCGAGGTAACGCAAAAGTATTGCGAGGTAACGCAAAAGTATTGCGAGGTAACGCAAAAGTATTGCGAGGTAACGCAAAGGTATTGAGAGGTAACGCAAAGGTATTGAGAGGTAACGCAAAAGTATTGAGAGGTAACGCAAAAGTATTGTGAGGTAACGCAAAAGTATTGCGAGGTAACGCAAAAGTATTGCGTGGGAACGCAAAAGTATTGAGAGGTAACGCAAAAGTATTGCGAGGTAACGCAAAGGTATTGCGAGGTAACGCAAAAGTATTGCAAGGGAACACAAAAGTATTGTGAGGTAACGCAAAAGTATTGTGAGGTAACGCAAAGGTATTGCGAGGTAACGCAAAAGTATAGCGAGGTAACGCAAAAGTATTGTGAGGTAACGCAAAGGTATAGCGAGGTAACGCAAAAGTATTGTGAGGTAACGCAAAAGTATTGTGAGGTAACGCAAAGGTATAGCGAGGTAACGCAAAGGTATTGCGAGGTAACGCAAAAGTATTGTGAGGTAACGCAAAAGTATTGTGAGGTAACGCAAAGGTATAGCGAGGTAACGCAAAAGAATTGCGAGGGAACGCAAAGGTATTG